TATTCGTCACTCATAGTTGGGTTATCTGAGATAACCCATCTGAAATAACTTATCTCACCAGGCTTGACGCCCAGGTTACATATCTTACGGCCAATATTCATGGCACATTGTTGATGTAACAATCTGTCCCGTGATCAGTCTGGGCTTGAATGACCTATATGATTCTTAAAGTTTCATCGGTTTCTAGGATGAAATACGTTTCGCGAGTTCCCTCTATCGATGTGCAATGCTCGTCGGGGTCAGTAATCTCGTGCTGGAGTATGCGAAAGGTTATTCAGCACGAGACACATTCGCAGAACTCCCTAACACTCAATCCTACATCGACGGAGAGTTCGATTATTTCTTTTATGAGTTTACTTAGTGTCACATCCATGTTGCAGGACCAACCATTTTTTTGCAACTCGGAGCTTACGCATATCTTCTCCCGATATACTAAGTACACTGGCTTTCCCATCGTTAAACATAGTAAATCTCATCGTGAAATGTTAGTTGTTGAATTCGCACACACGAGCACTTGAAGAACAAATAATACAAGATGCAATCAGTGAGTAATTAGGTCAGACATTGAAAAGAGTTTTCCGCAACGGCGAGCGAGGCTTGCGGGGGTTCAACCGCAACAACACGAACGCTCAGAATATATATTCAAAATATCATCATATTGTATTCATGAAGATGTGCAACCCAAATTCACTGAGCACTCCAGAACAGTGTGATCAGATAACCCTGCGGGTCGCTTATTTTAGCAGTTGGCACAACTAATACAGCTATTTTGAAACAAGCTGACAGCTGTCAATAACTGCAAGGCCCAAACTCTTACACTTAATTGACAAGCAAGACACCTGCCATATGGCGGTCTTCCGCTGAAAGAATCCGAGTTTATAATAAGCGAGTCTTAGCACCACCTATATAATCAAGAGGATCTTTCTCATAGCTACTAGACAATGGTGAACTTTTTTACTGGTAATCAACTGATCCACGTTAGTTCTTACTTGACATCCTTGGCGCTAGTGGCGACACACTTACCAAGCATGACAACACCGTTACCCTCCATAAGAGCAACACGAGAGAGACCCTCGCAGTGCTTGAAGGAGTCGACAACAAGGTGCTGAAGAGGCTCGAAGACGACCTCGGCCATCTCGTTAGACTTCAAGGAGTGGGGATCCTCCATCTTCTTGCCACCGGTCTCCTTACCGACCTTCCAGTTGATCTTGGTAAGCTTGCAAGCGGAACGGCCAGTACGGACGAAGGCGATGGGAGAGTAACCGACCTTGATCTCACCGGGGACATCCAAGATCTGGACCTGGGCGGTGAAGTTACCGACGTGCTGAAGAGTCTTATCAGCCTTGGAGATCATGCAATCACCAACACGGGG